AATGTATATGAAATGATGTTCTTCATATAGGTGAGGGATATACGATAGCATATGTCTTGCTAAGTATGAGTGTCTGGAAGGTGGGTAAAATAATGATACTTGGGATAGTGAGAATACCGTTTCAATTTCTATATATACCAATTCTCCTGAAGTAACTGCCTAGCCTAGTTAACTTCAGTGCCATTATAGATCAGTGTTCTTTGTTGTTTGTACTCAGAAGTTTATTTAGAGCATTATCTGTATTTTATATTATTCATCACAGTTATTTTACTGTGTCTCCTCCACCAGATCCAAAGCTTTGAGAGCAGAGACTACATCTATTTTTCCTCATTATTGTCTTTGCAAAAGCTAGCATAACTGCATTCAGTCAGCTCTCAGTTCATACTTGCTAATGAATGAGAGAAGGTGGGTTGGAAGAAGGGACAGAGACAGAAAGCTTTTTAAACTCAAGAACTAGTTTAGGTATATAGGGTGACAAGCATCTGATCTAGAGTAACGATAGTGGAAATAGGAAGGAAAGGAGAGCTCTTAGAATTGTAGAATCAAAGAAGACTCAGGTTTTGGTTGTGGGTGATTATAATTAGTTGGTAGGTGCCTTTCACAAATGGAGGAGTCAGGAGGTTAACTGATTTATGAGAGGAATAAGTTACTTTATGTAAATTCTAGTCTCTAGCCCCAGATGAATGATATTTTATGGCATGAGGAAACCTGGAATTAACTCTGGATTCCCTGATGGTATCATGGAGAATGAGAACACTGCCATAATGTAGATGTCTTAATTCTGTTGGATTGCTATACCAAAAATAAGGATGACTTATAAACAAAGGAAATTTATTTCTCACAGTTGTGGAGACTGGCAAGATCAAGGCACTGGCAGATTCAGTATCTGATGAGGAACCAGTTCTTGGTTCACGGACCACTGTCTTTTCACTAACATCATAGTGGAAGTGGCAAGCAAGCTCTCTGGTATCTCTTTTTATAAAGGCACTAATCCTTTATAAAAAGAGCCCTTATGATCTAATCACCTCCCAAAGTCTTCACCTTTTAGGGCCAAAGTCCTAAAACCAGCCTTGGGAGTCAGGACTTCAACATATGAATTTTAAGGATGCACAAACATCCAGTCTATAGCAATGGCAAACATGATTTTCACACAAGGACACAGAGGAGGCCAGACTTCAGAAATTACTGACATTCATGAGCTCCATGTCAATACCAGGCAAAACAGGATTATTAAACAGATGGTTTGTGAGCACTTAGATAATGAAGTAGTGATCACTAGGAGCTACCATAAGTTCACCATAACAAATCACATCAAGATAATTTAATTTGTTTTAATAGGATTACTAGATCAGGGCAACCATAGACTAAAGTTTTAACTAAGTCATTTGTTGTGGACAAGTTGAAGAAAGGTGGTCTTAATAATAATTTGTTACATATATTCATGACTGATTGTATACTCATATTCAGAACATGTAAATTAATTTTTAACAAAACAGTATAGGGAAGTGGTTGAAGGATGGGTTCTGGAACCAACCTCCTTAGGTTTGAATGCTGGTTTTACCACTTACTAGTGATTTGATGTTAAGCAAGCTACTTCATCTTTATAAGCTTCAATCTCTCATCTGTAAAAATAGTGGTAATATTAATTATACTTGCCTTGTAGTAGTGTTGTAAAAATTAAATGAGTTATCATAAAGCACTTAGAATAGTAACCACACAATAAATACCCTTAATACGTGTAGGGTATTTCTTTAACCAGGAACAAAACTCTGTAATAGCTCTCTTGTCCAAGCCTGACCCATTTGACATTTTTGCAGTTTCTTTTTTTGCAGTATTGGGGTTTGAACTCAGGGCCTCATGATTGCAAGGGCACTCTACCATTTGAGCCACTCCACCAGCCCCATTTTTGTTCAGAACCTAAATGAAGACACAAGAATTTGAACTTAAAAATAACCTAAATCTGGAAAAAAGAGGGCCAACACATTGAATAGCAGAAACAGGCTAGCAATACCTTGACGAGATTAAAGATAATCTTAACTAGGCAAGGTAAAATTTAGCAAGAATAAATATGAAATCCTCTCTTTAGCAGTTGATTGCACCTCTTTAAAAGAATTTTGTACAAAAAAGACTTAGGAGTTTGAATTGACAAGAGTTCCATTTAAGCAATGTTAGAAAGATACAGAAAATAATTTAGTGACTAGAACAACAAAGGAAGAAACAAACCCACTAATGGGTTTGCTGTATTAAACATATTTTGATATTGTATTCTATTTTAAACACTGCAATTTAATAGAAATATCAGTAAACTGAGGGAATAGCCCATGATAATGAATGTTTGTAAACTATAATAAGAGGAACTAACGATAGTTTTAACCTAAGAACAGAAAGTGGAGGTAATAGACTGATCTTCAAATATCTGAAAAGATAATGTATAGAATACAAATTGGATTTATTTGATAAGGCTCATTTTGGAAGAACTAACTTCAGGAAAGTAGGTTTACACTTAGTATAAAAAATGTTCTAATGATTATAATTCTTTAAAAGTGGAATGAGCTAATTTTTGAACTATTAAACTCATTAACCTTAAAAGTGTTTAAGCAGAGATAGGGTATCTTCTCAGGAATATTGCAGTGAGGGTAAGACCCTCACTGCACCTATATTAGATGGGAAATTGTTCCATTAAAAGCTCTTCCAGGGCTGGAGATGTGGCTCCAGTGGTAGAGTGCCTGCTTTGTAAGTGTAAAGCCCTGAGTTCAAAACCCAGCACCACCACAAAAAACAAAAATCTCTTCCAGTATTAACATTCTACAATTGTCATAAATTAGTAATGGTAATCTGTAGCCTATGGTATATACTTTGGATTCCAAAATGACTTCAATAGCAGAATTTGGAAGAGTAGTTTGGTTGCTGATATTTTAACAGAGTTATCCCATGTACAGAGAAGGCTTATGCTGTGTTTCAGAAATAAATTGACATCCGGGTCTACACCTATATAGATAGGAACTCCTTTGAAAATTTTCAGAGTATAGAAAAGCCTACTGAGTATACATAGAATAGTCCAGTAAGTCCATAAGAGATAATGAACAAAATAGATATAAAATAGTATATAAAGTATTTCTATCAAAATATGTACACTTGAAATTTCTGTTAACTTTTAATCATTAAAAATTCATTCTTTCAATAGTCTTTTGAAAATTTCCTAGATATATTATCATATATTAATGAAAATGTTTTTTAAAAGTTCCTTAGATATATAGCAATGATTAGCAGTTTCTCATTTTGTGTTTAATTTTTATGGAGGTTTTAAAGGTGTAAAAATATAAAAGTATGCCTCATCATGACAGCCTAAAATAATTGTGTTTTTAGCATTGGAATATAAGTATTTTCATGAAACTTTTCCTTGAAATATTTGAACATATCTATAATGGCTTCATTATACACATGGTTCTGTGCCAGAAATCTTCATTACAGTGCATTGGTAAAAATGTATGTTCTTTTCTGTTAGCAGACTTTTAATAGTATATGGAAGAGATTTGAAGGCAAGCTTTGGTTGTAAGATAAAAGTACAGTTGCCCTTTTCTCTTGTTTCTGTAGATAAGTAGGCACTAGAAATTATAGGTAGTTTTGGCAAGAGTTCAAGGGTTAATGTAGCAGATAAATAAAAGGAATTTTCTGTAAATTGAGACCTGCATTATTTCAGTTGTCTTGTCTTTCCTAACCTAACTCATTTAATTTTAAAAAGTAAATACTTAAATTCTTCCTGACAGTGTGCTCAGCTTTTACTATCGTTTATTACTTCAATTATACTTGATATCACTTAGAACAATCTGCCATTTGGAAATCTCAGTATAGCCTGGAGCTTAGTATTAGATCTGGCTGCTATTGTAACATGTACAGCATATGACATTAATGTATCAAAATTAGATTGGATCATCCCTCCTGGTTAAATTTATTTCACATTTCTTTTGTATTCAGTTAACATAAACCTATTAGGGAAGCTGACACATGGGGATGGCTGTATAGGAAGGATATTTTTAAAGTATTTTGATTAAAAAATGAAATTATGGAGCCATGGCTTTTCTGAGTTGTGTAATCTCTTTTTTGCTTTTTAAAAATGTCAGAAAGTCCTACTCCTGCATTTATATCATGCCATTTATGTTATACATAGGTATAAGAAGTTAACTCCAGGGTTAAAGAGAGACACTAATTGGACTTACTCCTCATTTATGTTATACATAGGTATAAGAAGTTAACTCCAGCGTTAAGGAGAGGCACTAATTGAACTTACTCCTTTATTTGAATCACATACCAAGTTTTTGCCTACCCTATGGTCTTTAATCAAATAGAAATTGTATATTTCAAAAATAGAAATTGTCTGCACATCAGCTGACAGCATAAATATCAATGATACTTATCCCTAGTGTGTCTTCCAAACTTTCCGCTCTACATTGTGTCCAGTTATCTGAAAGTAATGGAAAAGCCTATGTAAGCTATGTGCCAAAAGTAGACTCACATGTTTATAGTGCAGTATCAAAAAATACACTAGATGATGAAATTTTATACTAGAATTCAGGTTTGCACTGTAATCTCCAAGAAGAAAACCCAAGAATAATGGTCTTTACATTCATTTTTAAGTAGTTTATTAGAAATCCAACTTTTTTTGGTGGTAGTGGGGTTTTGAACCCAGCAAGGGTTTTGCCCTTGCTAGGTAGGCACTCTACACTTGAGCCACACCTCCAGCCCTCTTATAATTTTTATTATCATAGCATTAACTCTCCAGATGACAAGTTCTGTTTCTGACTGGCTATGAACAATTGAAATTATTTGTTCTTCTGCAGTGTCTCCTAATGTCTTTGAGCTTCTGTGTCATGTGTTATATAAATGATCAAATGCAATTTAAATTTTTTTACTGTCCCCCTTTATATAGTATGCTGTCAGTAGTATAACTATACTCACAGAGCTTTTATAAAGCACTATAAATTATTTTCTTGGTTTTCCAGTTGAGACATTTAGGAAATGATGAAGTGCACATTGTTTGGTCAGAACATACTAGAGACTACAGAAGAGGAATTATTCCTACAGAATTTGGTGATGTCCTTATTGTAATATATCCAATGAAAAATCACATGTTCAGTATCCAGATCATGAAAAAACCAGAGGTAAGAATTCCTTAGCTTCCACATTAATAATAGGTTTTGAGTTCTGTATGGGTTTGTGAGTTCTTTCTATCTGACAAAAGAAAAACTGGAGCAGGCATCAAGTTGTAAAAATGGGAGGAAATGCAACACAGACCCAGGCAGCTGTGTAGATTGTCTTAAGCCTTGTTCTGAAGGCACTGAAACAGAATAAATGGCAAGAAACTGCTTGAATGGGAGATGGCTAGATAGTGAAAGTTGAAAGATGAGTGAAAGTTCCTTTGTATTGAGCTCATAAGAGGACTTACCTTTTATTAGAGAATTATTACCATTTCCTAAAAGACAAAGTAAGAAATATTCCTCTTAGAATAGGAACATGTGATTCCTATATTAATAAATGAGAATCCTACAAATTAAAAACAAAAAAAAATCAAAGTAACTCTCCTACAGTTGTATGTCTTATATATACCATAGGATTAAACCAGCTGTTGCAAAAATCTCCTTTTACCTATGTTCCTTTTTGTTTAAGCTAAATTATTTTAATAGAAAACTTACTTTTTTGACAGTTGACCAAGACTTAAATTTTTAAGGTTTGTCTAAATCAGAAATAAACATTTGTGGCAGAAGGCACTGACGGAAGACAGCTGAGGATGTGAGGGACTGGGGATAAGGTATACTCTTCAAGGGCATGCCCCAGTGACCTACTTCTTCCAACTAGGTCCCACCTCCTAGTGTCTACCACCCCCCAGTAATGCCATCAGATTATTAACCCGTCAACGGATTAATCCATTGATTAAGTCAGAGCCCTCATGATCCAAGCACTTCCCAAAAGTTCCATCTCTGAACATTGCATTGGAAACCCAGCCTTCAACATACGAGTTTGGGTGGGGTTAGGGACATTTCATATCCACACTATAATAGATGCAAAGCTGGTATCTCAAAAATAATGAAAAACTAACATCCTGCTTATGAGAATATATTTTTTTCCTGTGTGGTTATTGGTATACAATTAAAACTACAAAAATTTGAAAATTGAGAGTATATACTATTTAGTCACTTACATGAAACACATAATTCTTTTAAGTGTACACCTTGTAGATCATTGATATTTGGTTTGTTTATTGAAAAGAATTGAATTTGAGTTGTATTTTCACTGAAGAAGGAACTAAAGAGGAAGCACAAACACTTTTGAGTGCAAATTGTCTTCATTGTTATCTTTTTACAATTTTAATATAAAATTATGTTCTAATTTCTCTGCTAGGTTCCCTTCTTTGGTCCACTTTTTGATGGTGCTATTGTCAATGGAAAGGTTCTACCCATTATGGTTCGATCAACAGCTATAAACGCCAGCCGTGCTCTGAAGTCATTGATTCCGTTGTATCAAAATTTGTATCCTTTTTTGATTTCTATTCTAGTGCATATCTACTTTCCTAAGTATTTCTTATAGGTTGAGGTCTTTGTTTCTGGTATTGATAAATGGTAAAGTTCCTATGATTTCTATTCTAGTGCATATCTACTTTCCTAAGTATTTCTTATAGGTTGAGGTCTTTGTTTCTGGTATTGATAAATGGTAAAGTTCCTCCATTTTTCTTTTTTTGTTTGTTTTTTTTTTTTTTTTTTTTTTTCGTTGTTGTAGTGAAGACTGAACCCAGGGCCTCAAACTTGCGGTCCCTGTGTCCCGTATTTTGTTTTTGTTTTAATTTTGGAGGGGATAGGACTGAGGTTTGAACTGGGGGCTTCAACCTTGCAAAGCAGGCACTCATATTGAGCCACACCTCTAGTCTATGTTGGTGTGGTTATTTTATATTTATTTATTTATCTATGTTTTGGCAATATTAGTGTTTGAACTCAGAGTCTCATGTTTGCTAAGCAGCCACTCCTACCACTTTAGCCACTCCACCTGCGCTTGTATTTTGTTTTTGAGGTGGGGCCTTGCTAACTTTGCCAGGGCTGGCCTTGAATTTCAGATCCTCCTGCCTCCACCTCCCTGTAATCTGCAGGAATTACACGTGTGTGCCACCATGTCTAGCTCTTTTGTGTACTTTTAAATACTAATATTTTGGTTAATTAACTAGAATCTCATTATATGCCAGGCAGTCTGCTGCACTAAAGGTGCAGAAATAACCAAAACAGTCATTACAAAGAACTCAGTCTAGTTGGGGAAACATACCATTTTCTGTATATATGCTTTAAAAGTGGTGTGTACACTATGTCATCCACCTGGTAGGAATGGTCGTATCCCAGAACACTTCTGAGAAATGTGAGGATTGAACAAATCTTGAAGGATTTGATAGACTGTGCATATGTTTTCTTCTTTTGATGAATGAGTTAATCAGATGGATGAGATTAAAAAGAGATTTCCAAACAGGGAACAATGGAAACATGATAGTATGAGAGAGCATGGACTGCTCAAGTGGTAACGCCTTGCAAGTGCAAGGCCCTGAGTTCAATGCCCCCCATACTGCCTCAAAAAAAGACTTTAAAGGATGGCTTTTTAAAAATATCTTCTGTTCTATTCCATCTGAAATGGATCTATGATCATAACTAGGTAGACTGTCACATACATTTTCTTCTTTGATGATTATTCCCATGTAATCTCTCATATATTCTGACACTCTGAAATGAAATTACAGGTAAATCATGGTACATTACACTGGCTTAGTTTAATGACATTTTTTATTTGTAACATTTATGTCTTAAAGTTGAACACTCAGATTTGAAGTTGTCACTTTAGTGAAATGAAAAGGATTCAGGAACCTTTCCTTGTTAAAAATATAATTTGAGAAATCCATTGAATAGAGTTCTAATAATTGAAAAGAAATTTAACTGGAAATTTCAGTGAGTAGTATAAATACAGAAAAAATGGGTTTACTTTCTAAATCAGACTACATAGCCTATGGTTTTGAAGATTGACTTGAAAACTATGTAGTCTGTTTATTGTTTTGAAGTATTAAGGAGGAGCTATTCAGAGAAGACCCTTCAGAGTTTTTATGAACCCTTCTGAGCTTACCTAGGAATCAGGGTCATTTACATTTTCTTTAGGCCTAGAATTTTGAAAGCAACTTCACCCAAGTGTGACTGATTCATCAAATACATACTACGTTTCCTATTTTTAAGCTGTACATACCACATACCTTTTTAGGAATTTCAGCTCCACTCCATTCCCCAGATATCTTTTTTCCTTTGTACAAAGTAAGATGCTGGCAATCTCCCTTCGTAATCTACTCTTTCTAAATTTAAATTCTGATTTTTATCTTATTATAATACTTTCATAAAAGTTTTAAAGTCTGAATCTATTTCTTGGAGTATATGTTTCAGTTTATTGTCTCCTGAATATCGCTAGGATATTAATCTTAAATGGAATATGTAGATAAAACAATTATGTCCACATTGTTAGCTTCCCTGAAGAGGCCTACTTTTTGAACTTCATCTCTTTCATAGTTCAACTGATCTTTTTTGTTCATCCTCCACCATGTAATTTCAGGCACAATTGAAAGTTGTTGGATATGAAAGTGTTTGCACTTTACTGCATCGAGAAAAATGCAGTAAACTTACGTCTTTCTGGAGAAGGGCAAGATGGATTACAATGCAGAACTCTATTTGCCTCTTGTATCACAAAAAAGAATTCTTAATTTATTGAGCAAATACAAATTTTCTGACCTGAGTACCAGCAACACTTAATATGCACATCTTAACAAGAAGTTTAAAAATGCAAAGTCAACAGTGTTGGAATGTGGCTTAGTTTTTTTATGCTCAAGTTCATGTACTTCTAGTTCAAATTTTCATGTTATACTTAAAGTATGAAAGCTGGATTTGTAATTGGAAAATAATGATTTCACTTGAGTTCTGCCTCGTGATCTTGATCAAGCTATGGGATCTTTTTATTGCAGTGTAGGGATCAAACCCAGGTCCTTAAACATGCTAAGCAAGCACTTTACCACTGAGCCATAACCCCAGCTCAAGTCACAGATCTTTGAATCTCACTTTCTTTATCTGTAAAAGGATGCTAATACCCACCTCAGAATTTTATTTTATTTTTTTGAAAATTAAACATTTTCAATTGATACCAAATTCTACCTTATTAGAAAGAAATGAAGCTATACGTACTGTTTTCTTTTATTTTCTAATTGTTTATACATTTATTCATATGTGTATACATTGTTTGGGCCATCTCTCCCCCCCCCCACCCCCATCTCAGAATTTTTGTGCAGATTAAATAAATGAATTTAGATGTGCTTAATAATTGTATTGAATTGCATTATTTTGTGCAATAACTAATCAAGGAAATGCCTAATTGGGTTTTTATGTTTGGCTGATTTGTAGGTTGATTATCTGGGTTGGATTCTCAGGCTGAACTATGACATTTTTAGTAGTTAATCATGTTGAGACATCAATATACAACACACAAGAGAGAATTATTTTAGATGAAAATAGTAAACATGAGAACTTTGTTTAAACAGCAAATCTAAAGAATTCTACAAACAAAATTACTGTAGAATACTTAATATGTGTATTAAGTAATACATTAATACATTAAATCAGATACATCAAACAGATTTTTCTTGACTTAAAAGCTTGAATTTAGAAGCTACAAGAAATTGTTTTCCCATACTATTTTAAATATAGTCAGCCCTCTGTATCCATGAGTTCCACATTTGGAAAAAAAAAAAAAAAAGACTTTTTTTTCTTATCATTATACCCTTAATACAATATGAACAACTGTTTACTTATATTTTTGTATAGGTATTACTAAAAGTAATCTAGAGATGATTTAAAGTGTACAGGAGAATTGCATTGGTTATATGTAAATACTTTTTATACCATTTTACTTTAGGGAACCTGCACATTCACAGATTTTTGGTATCCACAGGGTTGCTAGCAAAAATCCCCCCAGATACTAAGGGATAACTGTATATAGTTATAGATACTCCTATCCCTTTAAAATCTGAAAAACATACTATCACCTTTCACAGAGTTGCACAAAGTTCTTTTCTAAATTTTGAGGGTAAACCAGGAGTTGCGGTGTACACCTATAATCCCAATTATTCCTATCTAGTCCCAGAGACTGAGGGGGAGGCCACTTAAGCCTAAACCAGTCTAGCAACATAGAGAGACCCTATCTCAAAAAATAAATGAATGAGTAAAAGAAAGAATGTTAGAGGGCATTGACAGGTAGATTACTTGCTTTTTTGTTTGGCTGGTTGGTTGGGTTTTTGTTGTTGTTGTTTTGGTATTGAAACTGAACCCAAGGCCTTGCATATGCTAGGCAAGCATTCCACCACTGATTCACATTCTCAACCCCTTTTATTCTTTGAGACAAGTTCTCAAAATGTCCAGACTGGCCCTGAACTCACTAGGTAGCTGAGGCAGTTGAACTTTTTTGATCCTCCTGCCTCATCCTCCCCAGTAGCTAGGATTACAGGCACGAACCACCATACCTTGCTTTTTAAATAAAAGTTTATATAATAACTAGACTCCTCTACTTTAAGGTACTAAAATAAAGGAGTGTCTTTTAATTTTAAATAACAGTTACTGATTTCAATTTTTAAAATGTTTTTGACAAATTCAGATATTCATTGAGGAAATAAAAGTCATACATTCAGCATACTTAAATGAATTGCAACAGAAATTGAGGTAGAAGTAATATTTGTAAACAACCAGAGTTAATACTTTAATCCTCATAAAAGAAATGAAGGAATAAAAACAAGGTAATAAATTCAATTATATTTGGATAATTATACTGCTCAGTTAGTTATCTTATGCCCAGTTTCAGTACCCACTAAGATTCCACAGCATAAATTGTGCTACTTATGATCATTAAATATAGTTTAAATTTTATCCTAGGAACGCCTTGTATAACTATGAATCTAATGTTGTTCCCTAAATGAGGACAATATTGATTGTCATATACTGCTCAAATCGATCATGCTGGCAACCAGAATTACAGTAATCTGTCAGTATTGATGACTGTCTTTCAAGCCTTGAAACCTCTCCTTCACTTCACTTGTTGTTTTTTGCATTACTTGTACTTGAAAAGCATTTTCATGCAACATCTGATTTGTCAGCTAGGTACTTTTGTCTCTCAAACTCCATTTGTTGGCTTGATCGTGCAATTAGAATTGAATTGCAACACTGGAGAGAAAGACCAGGCAGAATCTGGGTGGGTGGCCAGTAGATCTGAAGGGTATTTCAGATTTCATTTTAGCCATCATTTTATTAACTACCTAGAAAGAGTATCAGTTCTGTTTGTTTAATTGGTTTTGGTTTTGCAGTGGGAATAATTCTGCAGCTTTAATTATGTCCCTACCCATTATGACTCTCTTCCTTAAGTAAATTTTTTTGGGGGCAGTACCAGGTTTGAACGCAGGGCCTTGCACTTGCTAAGCAGG